CCACTCAATCAGCATATGAGGGTGATTCAACAATGGCTACTGAGAGTTCATTCGAGGAATCGTTGGCCGATACATCGTATGAGCCAAGTCCTGATTCAAGCCCAAACATTCCGATTCAAAGTGGTAGCGCGCGAGCCAGCGCACGAACAAAAAAGGCACCTGAAAGATACGGCTATCCATTAAATTTTGTCGCACTTTACGCTGAGCCCGTTTCAGTTAAAGATGCAATGGATAGAGACAATGCCGAAAAGTGGAAAACGGCAATGGACAGCGAAATGGCTTCACATAAATTGAATCAAACTTGGACCTTATGTGAATTACCGAAAGGTAGAAAAACCGTAAAGTCCAAATGGGTATTCAAACTAAAGGAAAACGCAAACGAGGTGCGTTTCAAAGCCAGATTAGTGGCCAAAGGATATTCACAAAAATATGGCATTGACTACGAAGAAACATTTAGCCCAGTGGTAAGAACTACCACGTTACGCATAATGTTTGCTTTGGCAGTTCAATTTGAATTGAACATACACCAACTCGATGCTGTAACAGCATTTCTACAGGGAGACCTGGAAGAGATCATCTTTATGGACCAACCAGAAGGTTATGAAGATGGCACCGAAAGGGTGTGCAAGTTAAATAAGGCAATTTACGGCCTTAAACAAGCCGGAAGGCAGTGGAACATAAAATTGAGCGAATCATTGGTGAAATTTGGACTATCGAAATCTCAACTTGATCCATGTGTTTTTTTTGGTGCATCGATAATTGTTTTTATCTATGTGGATGACATGCTGATTTTTTATAAGTCAAAAAGTGATCTCGACGACATTAAAAAGCATATGTACGAAAACTTTCATATGAAAGATATAGGACATGCCACGAAGTGTATTGGCATAACAATAAATCAAAGCAAAGAAAAAATCGAAATTGATCAAGTGAAATACATCGACGAGGTCATTCAAAAATTCCTCACAAGTGACTGCAAAATTGCAAAAACACCCAGCGACCCAAATGAAAAACTGTCTATCAGCATGGTGGACGAAAGTAATGAATTGACAGGTAAGCTTCCCTATCAAGAAGCAGTTGGCTGTCTCCTCTACCTGGCACAGGGAACCAGGCCGGACATAGCTTTTGCAGTGAATGATGTAAGTCGCTTCAATTCAAAACACAGTGAAAAACATTGGAACGCAGTCATTCGTATCATCAGGTATCTAAAATATACCAGAGAATTGAAGTTGTGTTACAAGAAGGACAGTGATGCATGTGATTTGCATGCATATTCCGATGCTGACTGGGCATCAGACGTCGATAAACGTCGATCATGTACTGGATTCATAGTAAAATTCAGTGGTGCTGCCATAAACTGGCATAGCCATCGTCAAGCCATTGTGGCTTTATCTTCTACCGAAGCAGAATACATTGCTTTGTCATCTACGGTGAAGGACATATTGTGGATTCAGCAATTTATAAACGAAATCAAGGTCGACTTTGCATCGAATACAACGATTTACGTGGACAACGAAAGCTCAATAAAAATCGGAAATGTTGAGGCTTTCCGTGAACGAACAAAGCACATAGACGTCCGTCATCATCATGTACGTCAGCAAATAAAATTGAAAAAGATCTGCCTGTGCCATGTGACCACCCACGAAAACGTCGCCGACTTGCTAACCAAAGCATTACCGGGCGAAAAAACACGCGCATGTGTTATTGGAATGGGAATGAAACAGTAAACCTTTTTTTTTGCTCACATTGCAACATAACAATTTTTCGTTTCTTCAATTGTTTTCATTTAGATTCAAGCCGACCCAAGCAGAAAAATATCATTAATAGTTCATTAATTTGTTTTGGTTTCAAAAGTCCAAATATTGTTTATCCAAATTCCGTTAAAATTTTTTGTAGATTTTATGATTAAGTAAGCAATAACTTCGTACGCATTTCTGAAAATTAAGCACTTCTTGAGTGTATAAAACACGCCTGAATCGAGCAAAAGCCATTCAGTTATTCGATTACCATTGAGAGGCAACCAGGAAAATCAAAGGAAGCAACCATGGGCATTTTCGGCTCGTCAGAGGAAAAAACCGAGACCAAGCAGATTGACGCTAACGGAAATGTGAACAACAACATCATAATTAGAGAGGCCGAAGATACTCACCAACAGATGTTATTGAACGAAAAATTGCTCTTCGCTACATATTTGTTAGTATTAGTTGAAGTTTTAAAACTAGGCATATTTTTGTATCAAAGCATTAAGAGAGCATTTAAAAAGAAGTATCAAAATACAACTCAAGCCTGATATAATTGTAAAATCAAGAGATTGTTCAATTAAGGGAGTGTGTTATGAATATCATGTTTCACATAGCATTGCATTATGAGTACTGTATCGCACAGCGTATTAACAAAGTATATCATTAAAGTCAGTTCCCCATTCTCACTCGACTAAGCAAGTTCGTTTTATTTTATTCTCTGTTCTTTCTTTTGTTCTTGAACATTTCAGCGGTGTGAATTACTGTAATATACAAAAGGTAAATTACATCAGTTATTAACCCTTTGATGCACAATTTTTTGTTTTTGAATCATTTTGATATATGTTTTGTGCCACGATAAATAGAGAAAGACCTCATACTTAAATTTTTGAAAAATTGCGTATTTGTCGAGAAAATCGGAAAAGAGTCAAAAGTGTCAAATCACTATAAAGGCTTGAAAAAATTAAATTTCATAAAACTAATGATGCAGAAAGTTAAATTGATGTGTTTTGGTCCTACGAGTCCTAATTTGACAATTGGAAAGAATGTACAAACCCACAAGATAAGAGGAGGAAAAATGTGGAATTCTGCTATAATTTCGCATTTTTTTTACAGCAGTACATGAACAGAAAAAACTTTCCATTCAGCCAGCCGATTGTAGCCTGTAAAGTATCAAATGAAAGCTAGTTCATTTCCCTACATTTGTTTCCAAACAAGAATGTAAAAATATTCAGTGGTTTCATAGCTATAGCGTCTGGCGTATCTGGTTACTCTAGGAACCGAAATGTGATAAAGGGTTAAGATACGAATATGGCACAGCTATAGTTCGGAGGTTTGTTGCTTCAAAGTGCTATAACTCATGAACTAATGGTCCGATTTGTCTGCAATTTTGACAGCTGTCTCATGAAGGATGGTACTTGTCAAAAACCATCAGGATTATATATTAGTGCCGCCCTCTCATAGAAAAGTACCCAACTTATCAATCATCCTAGTATCAGTGGCTCACAAAATGATCAGCAGGAATAAGTGTATGCTAAAATGTGAAAAAAATTAATTTACAAGTAGTAGTACACGACTTTGTATGCTGTTTAGTGAACAGTGTACACGTTAACTCACTTTTTTCAAGTTATTTGCATACAGCCGAATTGATTAAATAGACAAGGAGAAAAATAGCCCATTTTTGGGGCCATGTTCAGCGAAAATTCCCGTACGGTGATATTTCGTGACTACGAAATTGGTTAAAGTTTCAATTCTATGGACGCTGCCATATTAAAAATTTACGTGCGATATGGTGCACGCACTCAATAGTTCCACCTATTTTAATAAGGAATCTATATAGGTGGCGCTGCCACATCGTCATTTACATCTACTCAAATATCGTCAAATATGATAACATTGTTTATATAGGCTTTTAGCGCAGTACGACAATTCCATTATTTTGCCGCTTGGAACACTGTGTTACTGCAAATAAAAATTTGGCCGTATTTCATGACCATTAGAGGTGTGTATGGGAAATCAAAGTATAACAACTGAAAATCACACTTGTGTTACTGATATCACTATAGAATGTTGTGTATTTTATCCTAGTTTCAGAATGCAAAGTATGTTTTTCGGGTGTTATGATAGTAAAAGAAACTTTGTTCTGTGACTTCGAAGAGACGTATAACGCGATTAGTGCTTGGACTTAAAATTCGTTGAGTTTTCATTTGTAAGAAACAAAAACTCTGCCTTCTAGGCGAATCTTGCAAAAAAAGTTGTTGCACAGTCAGTTATTATCATCAAGAGCATTGAGAAATGATAAAAACGCACAAAATAATTGTATTTTGATTTTTGAGTGTTATTTTGCTCATTTTGCGCAGACTAGAGGAAAAAACGAAACCAATCCAAATATTTTATAGGTACTCTGTGCTAGGGAGATTTCTCACTTAAAAAATGGGATAATTCCTACATATATTGAAAAATACCTTCACTTTCTATCAATTTACATCAATTTTGGTAAATAACATACACATTTACAATGCACAGATACGAAAATTTTTCAATAGGTGTCTCTTTTTCGGACAATATGACAATCCATCCATATTTTCGGACAATTTCACTAATATTATCTCATTTTGTGGCCAACTTCATACTAATTTACCTCCAAGTGCCAAATGTACAATAGTATGTATAATAGTAGTAGGGTTGGCCAAAAAATAAGACAATATGAGTGAAGTTGTCCGAAAATATGGATGGATTGATATATTGGCTGAAAATTGGACAAGGGTTATCCAATAGTGCTGTCTGTGTGAATGTTTGAATTATTATGATTTCACTGCATTGCAGCACGGTCGGCAATGCAGTTGAAAATGGCTGGAAAAACGACAGAACCGAATTTATCAAATTGTAGTGAATTCACCTAAATGTACAGAATTGACTGGAATGTAGTAAATTTGGTTCGCATTAAATTTGTCAATTTCAGTCATTTCTATACATTTTCATACAAATTCAATACAAAAGAAGAAATAGTTTAAATTTTTGCACATTTGTTTGCATTTTTTGCGAACTAGACTTTATGTAAAATCGTGCTTTTTAGTTTTTTTTACTATTGTTCATTTGAATTGTGATTCTCCCAAAAATTTCTATCTGCTTTGCCCATTGGAAAAGAAATATCCTACCTAAATTGGCTTGAATTTGATATCTTTACGCTATAGCTATATATAGCTTCCAGAAAATTTGTATTTTCAGCATTTAATTCATGGTTGTTCGAAGAAATACCACTTTTGTTGTAAATTAATTGCTTTTAGCTTTTATTAAAGATGAAGAGTATTTTTCAACACATTTTAAGAATAAAATTTACACATCGAAACCAAGTTAGTTACATTTTCACACACACTATGATATGAGTATTTTCTTTTATTGAATGTATTTAAATATTAAAAACAAATTTGTCTATTAGCGTATTGTGATTGAGCTAAAGTCGAATGGATTTAATCGTAGAACCCGTTGATATTAATCATGTAAATAAATTCGCCGATTTCGGCCTGGTAGCCACACTGTGACATCTTATTACCAGCATAAATGATGTACTTGATGAGTTTCGTGAAATCCTCCTCGATTTGTATTAGCTTATCGTAGTTTGGATGCGAATACACTCCATTATCACATTTCCAGTTTTTCGACTGCAATTTACTGTAAATAAAATGGGTCAATTAGCATTGCTTCATTGGCTCAATGTAAGAGTATCAAAAGAAAAAAAAACTCAAACACTTACTTGCAAAATCGAAGAATGACCACAAAAATATCCTCAACTTTGACATAAAACTCATGACTACTTCGATTCAACATGCACAAGAACTTGACCCGTTTCAAGTATTTGGTATGTTTTTTGTACAGATCTTCCATTGATTTGACGGTTTTGAGATCAGTTTGGAATTTGAGCCAGGAGCCTTCTATGGCAATCGATATGATATGATTTTGTAGCGCATCCACAAAACAAAGTAATTTGTGTCGAATTTGTTGAACGTGACGGAATTGTGATGATGTTTGGATATTTTCAGCCGATTGCTTGCGGATGTCCTTTAATTTCTGTGGTTGAGAAAAGGGAAGAGAAAGTTATTTGAATACATTGAAAATTTTTAAATGACATCGCACTACAACAAAGCATTCCGAAAGAATCTACTTATAAATAAGCGAAAATTGACCAATCTTACATAGAGACACTCGTCTAGGAGCCAAGTAATTCGCCTCAATTTGAGAAGGTGTTGAAATACTTTGTCATAATGTTCAACGGCTTCGTTGCTCAGCAAAAGATTGAGTGGCCATTCAACTTTGTAGCTCAGATGCAGTTCGCTCAATACGTTCGGTGAAGTCATGTCAAACTGTTCCGGTATGCTTGGAATGCAAAACGATAAATTCTCTGCATTTTTGTTGATTCCACCGACACTTGACTGCAGCGCACTTTCCAAAATTGAATGTAATGTGTATGAATTGAGCAGTTCACTTGGTTTGCGTACCACCTGCAATTTGTTCAATAGCCCATCACAAACATTACTGGCAAATTCGCCGTCCATCATGAAAAAATAGTTACGTAAATCTTGGAAATGGCTCAAAACATCAAGGTCATGGAAAAATATCTTTAGAATTTCATTGTTGAGAATGTTGGAAAACACTTGAAGCGGAATGGTGAATGATTGCTCCAGGAAATAGGCCAAATTGCCTGAGCTCAAGTCTTGTAGTTCGCTTTTTGAAAGCGATTTCGATGATTGATTGATCGGTGATGGTGGAGTTGCCTTATTGCTCCTGGTTGCGCTCAATCGTGATGAAATGTCGAAGATGCTACTTGAACCGGACGATGGACGCAGGATTTGAGAGAATGTCGGTTGACTCTTGTACGGTACGTTAAACTCGAATCCTCCGTTGTGTCTCTCAATGCCAGCTGTATTTAGAGCACTCATCGGAGTTGGTCGCTCTTCGATATCGGCAGTGAATTGATCGAAATTCACTTCTTTCTCTTTGGCAATCGAACAGTCAAGTCTTACTTTTGGTGGAGATTTATCGTTACCCGCTTCGTTCAACGAACTAGCGATCAATTCATCGGATGTTGTTGACATGGGCGAAACGACGAAATCACTTTGACATGCTTTTGGTGACAGTAAATTCGGCTGCGTCATTTTAGTATTATCCAAATCCAAGCTCAAACTTGCTTTCAATTTATTTCGAAGTGTGGTGGCTTCGGCAGTTGTGCGAGTCTCGATGCTGTTCATACCATATTCTTGCATCAACACTTTTTGTCTATTTAGCTGTAAATCGGTCATTGGCTTATTGGCATTGACTTCATCCAGTTTCCCAAACGTGTGACTATTTTCCTGTGCTAATTTCTTATTCCGGTTGAAAGCTGCATTGCATCGATTTTCTGTGGACACATTCACAACAACATCGGTGATGCCAAATTCCGATGCCAATACTTTGTTTCGATTTTTCTGCAATTCGGTTAGTTCGGCAGGTGCTGTATCGCGCATCATCACCTCCGTATTTGCGTTCGCATCAATCAACCCATATTCTTGATGCAACATTTTCAGTTTATTTTTCTGTGCATCGGTCAACGGCCCATTTGGAATATCCACTTTTTGTGTAACTTCTTCGGTAGCAATCAGATTGATATTGGATTTTAGGACATTCGCACGATTTCTGGCTCGATCTTGCGACAACATATCGATCACATTCGAATTGATATGGTCTGAAGCACTTCTTGATATGCTGGCAGCTGCGGCTTGCAAAATCTCTGGCGTTTGAGCTGTATCCGGTGATTTTAGCATGTCGGGTGATTGAAATGCCTTGCTTGATGTGCTCGAGGTGCTCTTATCTGCATCGAAGTAAACAGACTCTGCATCGGACTGATCACTTTCTGCTTCCGCATGATCAATGTTTACCAGTGTATTTTCTATATCCTCGTTTGACTCATTTCTATTGGTTTTGTGCGACAACTTTGATTTGAGCTCTCGAATTTCAGTATCCGTACGCTTCTGCTGGGCATCAACGATTTGCGCCAGTTCATTGTAGTATTCGATATTTTTTCTTCGTTGTTCATTTTCCCGTTCGATAAGTTCTAACTCGACCAATTCACTTTGTCGCAGGTATTCCAAATCGGCTTCCACTTCCTCACGTCGTTTCCGTAACTTTTGCGCACGAATCTCTTCAATTTGTTGCATCAACTCCAATCGATTTTTTTCATGTTTCTCTTGTTTCTTGGCTGCTTTTACCTCTTGCTCTGCCTTCCATTGCTCCAGATTCAGCTTTGTTCGTTCAGCTATCACTTTCACCAATTCAAGTCGCTTTTCTTGGCGTCGTTTGAACAGATTGTCAAGTTGAAAGGGGCGACCGCAAGCCGCTTGAGCCAACACTTGATACTTTTGACATTCCGCTTCAACGGCCCGGATTTGAGCAAACGATAAACATACGGTGAGTTGAGGTGGTATTATGCTGAAAAGCGGATGCTAAAAATGAATTTTGAATTAGCTGAAATGTGGAACATTTTATCAAGGTAACAAGGCTAAATTCATACCGTTGGATTATAAACTTTTAGAAGATTTGAATATTTGCCGCATAAGAGAATCGAATTTTCCCAGCCGCGCAAAAAACCTGGCACCGAAGATATTTTGATTATGAAGGCTTTGTCGAAAAATGACTTGGTCTTGGCGACGTAATAGTTGTTGAATTCAATGAACAACTCTTGTCCCGGATCTTCGATGGTTCCATGGTATATCCAATTTGAAAAACGTCTGTGGGAAAAATGAAGCGATTCATGAGATGTAAAAAAAAACTAAAATATAATCAAACTAAAAAAAAAAAATGAAGAATTGAAAATACCGAAAATACACAGCACAGCATTGCGACAGAATGAACACCAACAAAGCGTAAACATCTTGCTGTGTAACTTCCGTAATTTGGTTGTACAAATAGCCAAGGAATTCAGATCCATAGGCCAAGGAACTCAGATCACGATCAGCATCTGTCAAAAACGGAAATGTGCATCAACAATCTAGAAATATTAATTCTCTTGAAATATACCACACTTACCACTCGGGTGAACAGCCAGCAACTTGGCCAAAATGCGAACTTGTTTGATAAGAGGTGAGACTCGCACCAGCAGTTCACAAATCGTTTCATTTCTATCCACAATAATAGCACTTCTGAATGTTTCTAAATATCTATCCAAGCTTGAACACAGGGTCTATGTGGGAAAAATAAAAAAAATTGCATAAAATTGAGAAAAACGTTCATTTTCAAGACAAAGAAAAAACACTTTTTCGCAACGAAAGAAACAAAAACAAAACTAACCTTAAACACAAATCCGTTGTACTTCAGCTGGAAATTATTTGTACTGATTAAAGATTTAAGCCTCTTGTAGCATGCGCCGCATTCGATGAAATCCAGCACAAAGTGTGCAATTGTGTCTGGCAATATGTTTTCTACGGTTAAGTGTTCAACTAATCTAAATGTCATGCTGCTTGGATCGTAAACAAATGACTCGGACTCGATGCCGATCAACAGCAATTTGATGTGTTCATTAAAGCGTTTGCTATCGATGATATGTGCCTGGAATTGTTGCTGATGCCTTTCGGCTGCAATGGCCATTAAATTCAATGCAGTATCCGGCAATTCGGTGCAAAACTTCTTCTCGTATAGCGATGCAATGAGTTCCGGATCGGTGTCTTTGTTTAATGCTATCCGAAGGCCTTGATGTTCCCATTTATTGGCTTCGTAATAAATATTGCTTGGCCGAATGCGATTTCTTACACTGTCCAATACTTCCTGTACAATATTTGGCTGGATTTGCGTGCTTGTTTGTCTCGACGATTGGTCCACCAGCCCGGCTAACCCGGGCAAATGAAATAACTTTGACCTTCGGCTCAATTTACGCATCGCTTGGCAGTATGGATTGTGCTCAAGTTCAACATTTGGTTCCCAATTCAATTTGAAATACTTCACTTGGATCACGGGAAATGATGGCATTTGATTGAGAGCTAACGAAAAGTATGATTCAGCGGCCAGCAGCGTATCCATATTGCTTTTATTCTTCAGCAGTGTGAGAAACCATAGAATCGAGTATCCATCATTTTGTTCGTTGCAAAAGTAATCGTTACCATCAACGAATTGTACACATTCTTTGAACAATTCAAGTTTCTTCAAAATCTTCTTCTCCTGTCGCTCTTTAATAAAACCATAAGGGCCAAAATTTGGTCGCATTTCACCAACAAAAATACTATACTCGAATTGACTGTACTGCAATTCACGCACCGGATCGATGATTTCCGAATAGCCCTCATCTATCGATGATCGGCTCGCTGACAGGGATTTTACATTTGATTTCCGCAACAATGTTTCGAATGCTTTTTTTCTGCATTTTTTCAACAACTCTTCGGGAATGGTATCGTTCTTTTGGTGGCCAGATGGCCGATATAAACTGTGCGCAATTACGTCTTTCGATGCATTCACATCTTTGTAAATACTTTTACACAAATCATCCAACAACAACTGAATGCTCACTTGATCCGATTGCTGCTGCAAACTCATTTTGGACTGATCCATTTCCCCGTCTATTTGCTTAAAAACCACATTTGAAATTTTATTTTGTTTGAAGAAAAATTCGTTTGAATTGTGAACTGAACGATTTTTGCACCAATTTTGACAGCTAATCGATGCTACAGCTATTCTTTCTTTTCTGTTTGACAGTCAACAGTGTCATGGTCACCGAAAAGTGGCTGCGTTCTGTGCCATTGTTTATCTTCTGCGTTGGGATTCAAAGTGAAAGAAAAAACGGACTTTTTGACGGTATGATGACAAAAATAGAGGGAAAATATTTTGTGCATTCCAACACATCACCAATACCAATGAAAACACATGATTTTATTATTTAAACCAATTTTCTTTGTATTTTTTCAATTAGGAACATAACCATTTCAAGGAAATTAATGAAAAATATGCAAGAAATAATTAAGTCAATCGTAGTTTTTTTTCTCGCTATAAATATGTTTAAAAACGCTCGTTGTTAGAATAAATACTGTGTAAAATCGCTCGACTTAGAAGTATCGAGTGTTGTTAAAATGCGCAAAAAAAATTGAAAATCTTGTGTGAGAAAAGAATAATTTAAATCAACTTTTAGAAAATGTTTAAATAAAACTAATTGCTTTAGAGAAAAAGAATCAGATTATGCCTTTTGGTCTCAGTGATTTTGAATGCGTTATTCCGACACAAAGTCTGTTTCAAAGCTAAGCATTTCTGTTTGTTGTGGTCGGTTGGTCTATTCAACTTGTTCAAATAGACGCTTATGCGCCATATTATACGCTTCCAATTGGCCGCGATGCCATTCTTCGCTGTGATCAATTGTCGATCTGTTGGTCGTCAACTGTTTTATCACCAATGCACAGAAATGTTCACCTTGTTTGTCGTCAATGTATTGTTGGAAACGTTCATCGTTCTCCTTATCTGTTTGCAAGTGACAACTTGAAGTGGCTTCGAATTTCGTGCTGGTGGTCACTTCATCGGATTGCAATGGTTCATCACTTTGAGTGACGGCGTTTTGGCATTGACCCGCATCTTGTTGCTTGTAGTGTTGCTTGAACAGCAATTCAGTCAATTGTTTCAGGCCACCGATGACACGTTTCTCTGTCATTGACAATTTGATCGGTGATTTCGCTAGAAATGAAAATTATTCAAAGATTTAAAGAAAAATGCTTCAAAATTCCCATAGTCACAAGATTCAAACACAAATTTCCACTTACTTAAGTTCGAATTGTTGTTGTCGATGGCATGTGCCAAGCTGTCCCGGGTATTTTCGACGGCATTCAATGGTAAATCGCTCATTTTTTCTTGTTTATGTAATTGCACTTGACTTGAGAATAAAATTCAACTAAAAATATTTTCGTCACTTTGAAATTCAAACTTATCGATTGTTATCAAATCGATAAATTTTTGCTGATTGAAAAAATAAAACAAACAAAAGGGTAGAACCAAGCCTTTGTTTACGTCTTTACGTGTGCGTGCTTGCCTTTTAAAAAGTTAAATGCCACACACACACACGATTCAATCGCAGAAAGGTTAACTGTTTTGGCGCCAATTCATTGTGTGTTCTATGGCCAAACTGCCAACTGCAATCGTATGTGTTAGATGAACGCTGTCACTGTGTGGACAACGTGGTGAACGCACCCCGAAAATTTTGCCCGGTCTCATATCAAATCATATGTGAAGAATGTCAATGCACACATCAATCGACAGTTGAGAGAGAAAAAACAGTATTTTTTTCTTTCCATCGAATTGTTTTTTCACGATAAATTCAATGATTTGTCTTTATTTATTTGAATGCAAAAATAATAAAGAATCTCCATATAAAATGCAGTAAAAATCAATAAAAATTACAGTAAAAGCGAGAGAAGCCAAATCGAAATATACAAAAAAAAATTAATTTACAATTCAAATCTCAATATAAAATCCAAGATATACAAATCGAAAAAAAAAACAATAACAAAAATCAAATGATAATGAAAAAGAAAGTGCGTAAAATCATCATAAGTATTTGACATTTGTAATGTCTACAATATTGGTTTCGCATAATAGACAATGTGTTAAAATAGACGTGTTTAAAAAAAAGTTGTTCAACTCCGTTGGATTTACTTCGTTTGTGCTGATTTTACTCGACTGTCACGGACTTGGCGAGATTTCGGGGACAATCGACGTTACAACCACGCAATACAGCAATGTGATAGGCCAACAATTGCATTGGAATGACGGTTAAAATACCCTGTAAAAAGAAAAAAAAAACATTTGAAATTGATAAATGTTCCCATAGAAAAATGAATGAATTCTCGTCGTTGTTTTTGTTGTTATTATTTTGTTGTTTACCTGAAGACAGTCAACGGTTCGTGGCACTTCAAGTGATTTGCTTGAATGGTCCATAGTTTCGGTATCACCTTCTTCACAGATCAAAATTGGTTGACAGTTACGTGCTTTGACTTGAAGCAATGCGTTCATGCATTTTTTGTAGACGGGATCGCGGAGCACAATCATAAGCACTGGCATTAGTTCATCAACCAAAGCGAGTGGACCATGTTTCAATTCACCAGCCATAATACCTTCGCTGTGCATGTATGTCAGTTCTTTTACTTTCTGCAATGCAAGAACAAAAGAAAAACACAAAAAATCAATTAATTTCCGACAATTCTGTCCTATTTTTTATGTGTATATTCACCAATGCACCCTCCAAGCATGTGGCAAAATTGAATCCACGGCCCATAATCAGCAGCGATTTATATTTGTGCAGGTCCTCAGCCAGTTTATATACTTTTGCGTCCAATTCTAATACCTTACGAATTTGATTCTCTAATTGGGCTAGACCACGAATGATCTCCAAACGTCGTTGTTGTAACGAAATCCGATCTTCGCTCATCACCAAACCGAACATGACTAACGAAATGAATTGTGATGTGTAGGCTTTTGTCGATGCGACACCAATTTCGGGGCCAGCATTAATGTGAATACCGCAATGTGATTCACGGCAAATCGAACTGCCAACCGTATTTGTAACGCCAACAATGAGGGCACCACGTCCCTTACAATAGCGCAATGCCATCAATGTATCGGCCGTTTCGCCGGATTGCGAAATGAAGAAGCAAACATCGTCACGGAAAATGGGTGTGCCACGATCCAAGAAATCGGAGGCCAATTCAACCATGACCGGCAATTCGGTGAGCTCCTCAAGCAATTGACGTGTAGCAACCGCACTGTGATACGATGTACCGCAAGCGATCAACATCAAACGACGACAACGTTTTATTTCTGGAATGTAGTCTTTGATACCGCCCAAAATGACCTTCTCTTGTTCAAAATTCACACGACCACGCATCGTATTGATCACAGACTCTGGCTGCTCGAAAATTTCTTTTTGCATAAAGTATTCATAGTTTCCCTTCATAATTTGTTGGATTTCCATTTTCAGTGTGGTAATCTCACGAGCATGTGGATCATCGTGAGTTTTACGCAAACGATGAATGCTCAACAAACCATCCTTAACGGCGGCTACATCATCATCCTGGATATGCAGCAGAGGAAAAACAATCGAAGATATCAATGAGTAAAAAAAATATGATACAATCACAATTTGAATTCGAAATAAATTTGTAATCGCTCTTACCTCCAAGTAGATAACACGGTTGGTGTGCTCAATAACAGCCGATGCATCGGATGCAAAGAAATACTCCACTTCCTTATCGTCGACAGGCATAAATTCGGATGTGCTATCGTTGCGCGGCAAAACCGGAATGTCATGAACGCTGTTATTGCGTGGACGATGTTCTATTTTCGTTCCATGATGATGGAGATCAAAGGATCACAAAACAAATCAAATTTTGTATAATTAATGAGGGCGTTTCAATTGTGTCCTTGTTTACAGTGAATAGGTCATATATATATATATATATAGTGTAATATGTCAAGCTACAATATTTCACACTTTACTTCGTAAAGTAAACCAGAGTCCAAAAGTGTTTGAGTAGTAAACTGTGTGTAATTGTTAGTGTTCTATGCCAAAAATGAATGCATAAATTGCAATTGCAAATGCAAACAATGAAAATAACAATAATAAAAGAATTCAGAAATGAAATATTAGTGGATTTTTTTAAACAGCGAACAGTTTGAATTGCCAATTGAAATATTTTGAAACCGATTCCAAATCGCTTAAAAATATAAATAAAATACACCAGATACCCAAGCGTACCCAATGAAATGTATGCAGTCACTGCATATCGTAGTCAAAATCAAAGTCAATGCGTAATTAAATCCGAAAAAAAGAATTATAAATACATATGTGTATATGAAACCACACCAGAAAGAAAAAGAATGTATTGATTATTGTTTTTGTTGTTGTATTCCACCACGTAGAACCGTTTACCACCGTTTCGATTTTTGTTTAAGTATTTTAATATTATCGAAAATATTTGTGATTGTGTTAAAGCAAGGGTGAGAGAGAGAGAGAGAGAGAGAGAGAGAAAGAGAATGAGATTAAAATAAGTTGAAAAGAAGAAGTTTGACAAATTCGTACCTTGGTGGTTGCTAGCGATATTATCATCTGATAAATCGGTTTTGGTGTGTATTTGTGTATGTGTTTTTGTTTGTTTGTGGTTTGATAAAAATGTTTGTGTAACACAAAAATAAAATAGAAAAAATTGCATTAAAAATCAGATTGGATACTAAAATGGCAAATGAAAATCAATTAAAATTGTTGGAGCTAATCACAATTCTTGATCGGTTGTTCGAAATAACTGAAGTAGTTCGTTTGAATTCTAGCGAAATTTTATCATTTTTGCGAAATAATTTATGGATGTTATTAACACACGGAAAAAGCCAATTGAACACAAAAATAACATAAAGATGAAAAAAACACGGTCAACTTGTAATGACGTTGACACGTTTGAAACAAACAGTTATGTGTGTGTTTTCTTTGTCAAAAAATAGTCTCATTGTCTCTTCAGTCTGCATGTGGTCGTCGCAGTCAATAATTAGTTGTTGACTTGAACATTACGTGTCATAGATTCGAATGTGATCCGTTTTGTTGTCAGCTCGTTTGGGGAGTTCAAAGTCTGTGCAAATTTACAGTGTTTTTTACCTTTACCGTACAAAATGGGAATATGATCGGTGGCCAAACGTGTTTTTGTTTTGATTCCAACCAATAGTGGTGATCCACGCCGTGTTGTAACGCATTCATCGGGGAAATGCTTTGATTTGAATGCCAATGCGAATGCTCCTTCCTATTGGACAATTTAGAGAAAAAAAAATGTTTCAAAAGAAATACCAATCAAATGCAACGCAAACGCATAAAAAACGAAATGATTTTGCCATTGTAACAAATTAGAATAATAGACAAGGTAAAAACAATGGGCGAAACATAAAATAAAAATGAAAATTGATGAAGGTCAACCAGGTGATTGGCAAGAAGAAAAAAATTACTTCGTTTATGCAACTAATGGATATGGTTTTCAGTTAATGAAATCGTCCAAACTGCACTCACCAGCTGTTGAATAACTTGTTCGACCAATTCACGGAACGAATAATTTGGATGTTCACGATACAAATGGTAGATGAGCTTAGCAATGATTTCCGTATCGGTTTCGGATTCAAATGTGTGGCCTTTGGATTCCAAATAGTTTTTCACATCTTTGTAATTGGTGATGATGCCATTGTGGACGACGACAAATGAATGTTCGGCATCCGAACGTTGTGGATGCGAATTAACTTCGCTTGGCATACCGTGCGTAGCCCATCTTGTGTGTGCAATACCAACATGTGTATACAGTTCAGAGTCGGCTTTCGTTTTACCCTCGTCACATGCTGCAATGTGGAAGAACAACAACGTGAAAGAAAAAAACAGAAAAATTAGCAGTGATTAACCACAAATGATTATTATAAACGCAAATGGAGAAAATTTCATTTCATTCCAATTCATACCTAGATTGATCGCTTCTTCGAGCATAAGCACTTTGCCAGATCGTTTCACCAACACAATATCTTTGCCATCGTTTGAATCAACAGCAACACCGGCTGAATCGTAGCCACGATACTCCAAACGCTTCAAACCGGTTACCAGCAAATCCAAAATCTCTTTTCGCGTTTTCGGTGTCAAGTAATTCATATATGCAAATATTCCTGAAAACGATAACGCAGACACACACATATTATATATCTCATTTAAAATTCAAACTCTTTTTTTTGCATTTTTGGATTATTATGTAAAATGATCGACATAAGCGATTTTGACCGAGTAAGCGGAGATTACGGTTTATGACCAAAAGAAACCTGTTGAGTTTTTCTTCCAGTTGAAAGGACAAGTCTTAAGAATGGTTTTTAAGAAACTGATAATGACGATAATGGTTATGATATGAACACAGAAAAAAACCATTAGTATGGAAATTTCGGCGCCGTCGCTTACCCATGACATGGGCATGTAAATGTCACGAGAATGAAACAGATATAATCGTGTCATTTGAGTTCCTTTCCACATCGAATATCATTAGTTGATTTGTTTGTTTATGCTAAAAGAAAAAAACTACCCACACTCACTTTCTTCTCTGGCGATTTATGATCAGGTTTTGAAAATTATCTCAAATGCCATGCAAATACTACCTAACCGGAATGTAAATCAATAAAACGGCGTGATTTGTTAGTGGAATGCAAGTTTAACGTAGATATTTGCTGATTTGGTCCTAGCTTTGAAATTCAAATGTCATATACTGGAATTTATGTAAAAGTCCAAACGTAATGATTATCACGCCAACAACAACAATAACAAAGCGTGACACCAGACAAAGACACAGTCGAAATGAGGAACAATGAAACCGCCGATGGAATCGACAGCGAACTGGAGCCCAAGCAATAAGCGCGACAACCGAGAAGCACTCACAATTGAGGTAATAATAATCCCGTTGTTGTTGCTGAATGTCGATCGGTAACACGCTCAAAATAAAGAAAAAAGTGCTGGATAGGTCTTGTGTCGTGCGCCTCTCACCAAGCCTAACCATAGCCGTCTATTATTACAAATGATCCCAATAAAAACAAGCAAAATGCTTGTATGAATTGTGTGTTGTTGTCAATTTTTTTTCTTTTCGTTCATATAGATTTTTATTTGTATGTTAT